GATCACTTGAAAAAGTGATTCAGTGGCGTTGTCAATATCATGACTTCATCTGCTAATTGATGCAGGGTAGGGATAGCGAGGTATGGTGCACAATTAACCCCGAACGTTACGGTTTTAAGATTATAATCGGTGACAGGAGAGTCAGCCGATGTGCGAAATAAGATTCGCTGAAAATCTTTATCGTCCTCATGGATGAGTATTTGACGATACATTTTTTCAATGTCGCCATTGAACACGAATCTGTGCATTCGCCACTGCAGAATGAGCAGCATGAGATCTGGCTGGAGTGTGGGACCAGTGTGCAACACGTCATTCAGGGAATTTCCTGAACCAGATGTTTTTGAGGCGTTGAATACCACGCGAACTTTGGTGGTCACCTTATCTGGTTTGACGACCGCATGATGTGGCAAGTAGAAAGAGAAGTATTTGCCATTGGAAATTATCTCGCATGGCTTCGTATGCTCCATATGACCGAGGTCGAGATACTCTTGCAACACATTATTGTACATTGTGGCTAAGTCTCCTTTTTTCTGAAGCGATCGCTCCATACTGAAAAACTGCTGAAGTGCAGCAGACCGAGAGTGGCCCAGAGACAGCTTTTTTGGAAATTCTTCCTTGAATGGAAGTCGCACAATGTATCGACCGTTTGGGGCACGAGTCGTTGTTGTTGCATATATATGCTCACAAGCCTGATCTTCAGGGGAAATTTGTGGAGGTTGTGGAATCTCCTCCTCTTCCCAAAACTTTCGAAGCTGAGAGCTGAGAGTTGCATTCGAGCACTCTTCTACTTGTGTCGAGAATGACACTACAAGTATAGTGTCGCAAATATTTTGTATACCTTCCAGCAGGATTTGTGGAAGTATATCGCTGCCGATTACCATGTCAGTTTGAGCTGGTATGTGACAGCTTGGGTCAGCAAGTTCAAGGATCTTGAATTGCTGCCAGTTTTCACGGCTAATGGTGAATGTAGGCATGTGCCTCGTGAGCTGAGGTAACACGATAGCCTGTGTGTTTATCCGTTGCATGGTTTTTGGTGCTACCAATGTGAGTGGACAAAGCTTTGAGGAGCTTTGTACTACATGTCCACCCATGCCGGAAATTTCGAACTTGGAATGTTCGAATGGTAGTTTCAACCGTTTTTGAACTTTCGAGGAAATGAAAGTTCTTTGTGAACCTTGATCAATCAGGGCTCTAAGTTGAAACAATTCACCCTCGTGTTCAACTGCGACTATGGCAGTTGGAAGGAGAATTTTGCTATCATTGTCGGTGTGCAATGATTGTATTTGTGCTTGTTTGGAACAGCACGGTTGCTCGCTGGAATCGGAGCTTGACTGCGCTTGTAGAGCGGGAGGTGTCGACTGGGCAGTAGTGTGTTGTGCGGCGGTTTCATTCGCTCGCGCACTGGAGTGTCGAGATTGTGGTTTGGGATTCATGTGCAGCAGGGAGTGATGCCGTTGTTGGCAATGTGTACATGACCACTTGCTCGGACACTCATTAGTGCTATGGGTATTACCAAGGCAGTTTTTGCACAGCTTGGTTTGGTTTGCGAATTGTACTCGGTTCGGTACCGAAATTCGCTTAAATTGTGGGCAGACTCTAATGGGATGAGGGGACTTGCAGTAAGAGCAAGTTGGTTCCCTCTTAGGTTCTGCCACAAAGGTTTGATTCCTGTTAAAGGACCTGTTTTGCGCAGCATTTTGATGAGCGACTGGTTTTTGTTTATTTTGGCTTGGATGAAGCCGGTTAAGTCTTTCGACTACTTCGTATCTTGAAGTAAGAAAATCGTCCATTTGTGACCATGAGGGTAAATCTCTTCGAGAAGAGAGAGATTGTTCCCAAAGTGACAGTGTGGTTTCGGGCAATTTGGATGAGCAAATGTACACCAATATGGGATCCCAACTGTCTGTCTGGACGTCTTGGGAATTAAGAACTGACAGACAGTTGTTAATTGATGTTTGCAGCCTTTGAAGTTGCTCGCTATTCTCGGATTGAATAGTCGGCAAAGTCATCAAAATTTTAATTTGGTTGTCAACCAAGATACGTTTGTTTTCGTATCGTGACCGTAAAGCTTCCCAGGCCAGCTCGAAGTTATCATCGCTGAGCGGGTATTGCTTGACGATGGAACCGGCTTTTGTATCGAATGAAACAATTAATTTATGTTTTAATTGTATTGAATTTATTTTACTGAGCAACTCAATGTCGCTTTGTAGGTTCTTTTACAATTGAATTCTTAGCCTAACATATTGGGGTATTTATGGGAAATAATTGCTGCATAAGCATAAATAATATTATAAATAAATTGAAGCTTAAAGTTAGTTTGTTTGACGGTTTGGCACGTGTGCCTGACAATGCGTGAGTTCTATATTCAAAATATTCAAACAACTGAAATATGAAACCCTTGTTG